TTGAAGCCGAACAGTCGAACATGTCGTGAACTATGTGAGTGAATGTTCGGATGGTTAGTGGGAGGAGCATATCTCTGAGTATCAACACTGGAGAGTTGAGCTGTGAAATGTTCGGACGGGGTTCGGTGGTTGACTCACGTTAAACGCGGGTAACTGTCCGTCGTTGACCCGGTGAAGTTCTCTGATGAGCTCCGCGGACTTTTCACAAAACATCGTCTCGAGTTCCACACGAAGATCAAAGAGAAGATCAAAGAACAGAGTCAACTTTATTCAACTTCGTCTCCCTGACGACCGAGCTGCTGCGCGGGAAAAGGGCTCTTCTGGCGACTGTTATCAGCACGTGACCGGAAGATGTTAAACTCCGGAAGCTGCTGAGGGACAAACTTCATCCGGACGAACCGTCACCGCGGAGCGCGTGAGAGTGACGCGGCCTCAGAGATGCAGTGACGCGGCCTCAGAGATGCAGTGACGCGGCCTCAGAGATGCAGTGACGCGGCCTCAGAGATGCAGTGACGCGGCTTCACGGGTCAGATTTGATTCGTAACTACAAACATTTACTTTAACAATCCGCCGGAACTGTTTAACCCGCGGTTACTTCCGGTTAGCAAACAGCGGCTAAAAATAGACCGGTCAAACAGCTTCGAGAGGCGACAGAGAGCCGGGAGAGGCCGGTACGAGCTCCGGTACGAGCTCCGGTACCGACCCGGTGTGTCGTTGTAAAAGGTTTTATAACGTTTGAATGTTTTAAGCTTAGATTTAGTCAACATCGCTTCTCAGTGAAGCTAATTAGCTGCTAACTTCACTGATGACTCGTTCACGGTCCACGGGAAAAACAGCTTCGACAAAAAAACTTGAATCTGAAATCATCAGTTAATAGAATGAGTGGTCGATCGACAGGAATATAATCAGCACCTGTTTGTATCATTAATTGATCATCTAATGAATATTGAAAAAAGAAAAAACTAAGCAAAGTAAAAGCGTGTTAGTCAAGAGACTGATAAGTATAAACCCTCAGAGTGTCAGTCAGTGTTTCCAGGTTACAGATTCAAGGTGTTGAGCAGAATTGTTGATGCAACTAAAATACTCAATGAGTGAATTCATCTTAAACATATTTCTGTTGATGAATAATCTTACGAGCTGCACTTGAAGGCATCGCGCACCTGCTCTTACTTTCAACTTTTCTACAGAGCGGTTTTGTTTTGGTTGTCGTTGTTCCGACGCTCCCCAGAGCCCGTGAAGGCATCATGTTGAGAACACGTGGTTGTGTTCGGGGCCTGTGATTGGCTGCAGGGGCTCGCTGCGGATCAGCTGTTCTCTGCGGGGCTCAGCTGGAGGATCAGCGGGGACTCGCTCCGGCCTCAATCCGCTCTCAGTGCCCCGTCTGCCGCAGGACCTCGGCCTCTGTCCCGCTCGGTTCCCTGTTGTTAATCCTCGGTTCTCTTCTCCAGTGATGAGGAAGCGGAACAACTCGCTGACTGCGGAGAAGGACAGCGGCACCACCGGCTCTCTGCTGGACAGCGACCCGTACCTGAAGCAGCGTCCCGGCAGCACAGCAGCGGGGCCCGCAGCCGGTGACCGGCAGGGCCCGGAGGAGGAGGGGAACATGGGTAAACCGTTCAGGAGGTGAGACCGGAACCGTTCACACGTGACATCACAAACCATCTGATGATTTCAGGTTTAAATACATTTGAATAGATTTCTGATGTTAACTAATGTTTCTGATGTTAACTAATGTTACTGATGTTACTGATGTTACTAATGTTACTAATGTTACTAATGTTAACTAATGTTACTGATGTTAACTAATGTTACTGATGTTAACTAATGTTACTGATGTTAACTAATGTTACT